AACAAATGAATTTTATTTCTTTCTTTGACACTTCACCGGGTATGAATTTAGATTTGTTGATCTACTTCTTTGGAAAAGATTATTCATGAAGACTAATTAAATTCTTTTTTTTTTTAAAGAAGTTGAGTTCTAGTCGACTATTTTTTTTTTGGTGGAAGTTCTAGTCGACGATTGTTATAAGGGTTAATTTGCCCATTAACAAAAAATTTTTAATAATTAAGAATCTAACAAAAATTAACATATGTGGCTTAATTATATCCATTACATTTAGGTTAAATGGTTAGATTTTTGATTATAGATTTTTTTGGATTATTCAACCCAATTTCCCTTGGTTATAAATTATAGTTTCTTTTATCTCCGATTATTGCAAAAGATATGCTACTACTGTATTTAGCTAATTGTGGTATGAGTTCATCCATAATCAGCAAGTAGAGCCAACTAGTCATCCACGTTAATAAATAATATATCATTGACTTTTCGATCAACCCTAAACCAAAAGAAAAAGCTATGTACAATGCAATTAGTTTTTTTTTTTTTMTTCAAGGTAAAATGCAATTAATTAGGCCTTGATTATTTCATGTTTGTTTTTTATTTTTCCGTTTGTATAATTGTTTTAGTTTGCTTTTGCTTTAAAGTTTAAATTAATTGTCATGATGTATGCTTTTGCGTTCAAAAGTAAAATGAGTATATGAACTATGACAATGAAAAAGATGGAATTTTATTCTTTAAATAAAGGATAACTAGTTGTGAGATTTGTCATCTTAAGCAAAATGGATAAAAAAATGTTTTTTGACGTTTTTTTACTTTCCCGATTTACACATTTCAAAACACGTAATTTATTTATTTTAACATATAAGTTATTTATTTCCTTAGAGTGTAATCATATTTTATTTAATTAATTGACAAGCGAATTTGAGATTCGCAAGAATGAAGACGGTTTATTAGCAAAGTTCGTATACGTATTAAGATTATTTATTAATTTTTTTTTGCTAAATATTAATTTTTTCTTGTCTAAAAATCATTAGTGAACCTATAACTTATTAAATTTCAAAAAAAAAACCTATAACTTATTTTAAAGTAATTTTTACTTTATAACAATTTTCTTTGGAATTACTTGTTTTAATTAAAGTTTAGAAACTTTTTTTTGTTTGACATCTGATTTTTCATTTATTTATATGTGAAAGAAGACAATAATTCACTCTGCTCATTTTCCAGGTTTTTCTGGATTCGTCTCTGCTGCTTGATTCAAAGGGAAAGGGAAATCGCCAAATCGGTCCCTTCTAGGTCTCAATTGTGCTAGAGATTCTTCGATTTCTGGGGAAGCTTGAACTATGCTTTTGATTTCGGCATATAACTTCTTTACATTGATGAATCTCGTTTCGGATTTCCTGAGTTTGCTCAATGTAAGTGAGTTTCGTGAAACTGTTCTTCGATTTTCTGCTGAATTTCTTCCATGTCCGATTACTTTCTGGGGAAATGAGAAATTTCGGAAGCATTTCTTGTATTGACATGTTCTGATTTGTTGCTAAAAGTTTGGTTGTATAGTATAGTTTCCGAAGCTGGGTATGATGGTTACTTGATCTTTTCGTCGGAATTTGGAGCTAGGGTTTGCTTTTTACATGTTTGATCTCTCATTCTCGGGTCCATCAAATAGTACATTGACGTAGAATAAGTGGATCTCGCTTCACTCGGGATGATCTGATACTATGAATTAGGCTAAGAATTTCTATGTGATTAGAAGAAGAACCTTTGATTGTTTTACACAGACATTTAGTTGTTTGTGATGCATCCTCATGCTCTTCTACTCTTGGTGCTATCATTTTGATTTTTGAAGATGGTTATTGTGATCTTTGCAGGTTGCTTCTCTTTAAATTGATTATAGCAACTTTAGTCTACAATCTTGGGGAAAAGATGGTCTCCTTTGCAAGATGACGCATAATGATTTCTGAACTGGGGGAGGAGTCCGTCCGGCATGATCTGGAGGGTTTAACCGTGTCAAAGCGGCTCGTAAAAAGTGTTAGCCAGAAGTTAAAGAAAAAGAACCATAAAACTGATGTGGAAGACGCAGAGGATGCAAGGGGAGCAGTGAAGTGTCTAAACATCAGCGGTAGAGGTGTTGGTTGCAAAGTTGCGGATACGGGTGAGGATTTTGGGGATCCAAGCAATAAGAGATGGTCCAGTGCTAGTGAGGAGGGTAAGGGATTGACAACAATTTGTGGAACCGAAGAAACTAGGTTAGATTGCTTTTCGTATGGGGTAAAAGAGAGGTTCTGGAAGAAGAATAACAGAAAATATCTAGAACTAGTGGACTCGGTTCAGGATAGCCGGAAACACATATTCCTCCCCGATGACATTCTGGAAATGTGCTTGATGAGGCTTCCTTTGACCAGCCTAACGAATGCGCACCTTGTTTGCAAGAGATGGCGATACATGGTCACCACCCCACGGTTTCTCCAGCTGAGACGACAAGGCTCCTTTCAAACCCCATGGTTATTTCTGTTTTCTGCTCTTAAAGATGGCTGCTCATCTGGTGATATTCAAGGTTATGATGTATCCCAAGACAGATGGCATAGGATTGAATCTGATGTACTTAAAGGGCGGTTTATGTACTCAGTGACGAGCATTCATGAGGAGGTTTATATAATTGGAGGCCGTTCTATGGATAGGAACTCTTTCAAGACCCACAGAGGGATCTTGGTATTCAGCCCTTTAACCAAATCATGGGGTAAAATTGCGTCTATGAGACATGCTAGATCACTTCCCATCGTTGGTGCCTCTGAAGTTACTTTGGAATTCTCGACTATACAGGGTCAGCAGAATCGCCAAGATAGACGCTTTCAGCGGTCAAGAACTGGCGGGGTTTCAGACGTTTATGAAGACCCACACAGGCTATCTGTAAGACGCCAGCACAGAAGCTCGGTTGATCAAAACGAAACTAAATCCCACAGATCAACAAGACTAAAGCTTGATCGGCTAAACCGAAATAACTCCAAGAGATTTGTGATCGTTGCCATCGGGGGCACTGGATTGTTCGATGAGCCACTGGATTCAGGTGAAATATATGACTCAGCAACAAACACATGGTCAGACATCCAGAGGCTCCCGATGGATTTCGGGGTAGTGTGTTGTGGGATCATATGCAATGGAATCTTCTATGCTTATTCTGAGAGTGATAAGCTATTAGGATATGACATAGAAAGAGGCTTCTGGATTGCCATCCAAACATCTCCAATCCCTCCTCGGGTTCATGAGTTCTACCCTAAACTCGTCTCCTGCAACCACCGGTTGTTCATGCTTTCAGTTTCTTGGTGCGATGACGGAGATGGACAAATTGGGAGGAGAAACAAAGCGGTGAGAAAGCTTTGGGAGCTGGATCTCATGTACCTAACATGGTCTGAGGTTTCAGTACACCCGGACGCACCAATGGATTGGAATGCTACATATGTCTCAGACCAGAACATACTGATGGGAGTTGAGATGTTCAAGATCTTTGGACAGGTATTAGATTTCTTCACTGTATGCGATACATCAAGGGAAGAAGCCTCTTGGAGGCATGTTTCTAGGAACCACAGGAGTCGTGAACTTAATGTATCGTGTATGAACAAGACCGTTGCCTTGCTTCATCTCTGATCTTTTAATTCATTTTAATAACTTTGGGGCCTTGTCTATAGATTGATTCATCATGCATTGAAAAGAAATGTAATGTTCGTATTTATATATAAACCATGGTTTCAACGGCTATGAAAACATTTAGACTCAGACCGGTGACCCATTAGAGGAACAATAGCAACGATGAGAAAATGAATAAAGAGAAGATGTTTCATCAATGTAGTTTCGAAGGCTAAAAGAAATTTCGTGTAAGAGTAAGACTAATGTTCTAAAGTATATATAATTTCCAATCAAACCTAGCGAGACATTACCAAACTGGTGAGCAGTTTTTTTTTTGTATAAATTTTAAATATATTGATCGACAAGAGGGAAGATATTTACATGGTTAAAGCTAACAAAAGTGGGAAACAAACACAGAGTAGAAAACAGAGATATTAGCTTGACTCCCTTGCTTGGAATCGAGGAGAAAGGACACCTCCGAATTTGCTTGTGTCTTGATAGCCGAGCGAGCTGATACGATTACGAATGTCTTTATCAATTTTTTTTTGTGGTGAGAAGAGGATGAGGATTGCAACCTTTTTGCTATACATGATAAATCGTCGTTTGGAACACCATACGGACCAAGATGTCCAAAGCAGGGGAAGAATGGCCGGTGAGATTAAGCAATGAACCAGACCAGTCAGGTGTGAACTTGGGACCGAGGAGCTTGCTGCACAGAACTGACCAAATGTAATATGTATACGGACATGCAAATGTACTGAGACTGCCTTGTTCAAAGTGTGAGTGTTCCTAGACATTCCCTGAAGAAATCAATCGATGATCCCTATGGAATCGCAGAACAAAAACCGTAAAAAATACAAACATTAGATTTCATTTCAATCTCAAGGGACTGCAACATTTCATTTCTTTTGAATACATAAATCAATAAATTGACAAACCCTGAAAGTTATTAAAAATGAATAAAAAAGATCAGAGATGAAGCAAGGCAATGGTCTTGTTCATACAAGATAGATTAAGTTTCTGACTTCTGTGGTTCCTCGATACATGTCTCCATGAGGCTTCTTCCCTTGATATATCACAGACAGTGAAGAAACCTAATACCTGCCCAAAGATCTTGAACATCTCAACTCCCATTAAAATGTTCTGGTCTGAGACGTATGTGGCGTTCCAATCCATAGGCGCGTCCGGGTGTACTGAAACCTCAGACCATGTTAGGTACATAAGATCCAATTCCCACAGCTTTCTCACAGCTTTGTTTCTCCTCCCAATTTGTCCATCTCCTTCATCGCACCACGAAACTGAAAGCATGAACAACCGGTGGTTGCAGGAGGCGAGTTTGGGGTAGAACTCATGAACCCGAGGAGGGATTGGAGATGTTTGGATGGCAATCCAGAAGCCTCTCTCTATGTCATACCCTGATAGCTTATCATTCTCAGAATAAGCATAGAAGATTCCATTGCATATGATCCCACAACGAACTACCCCAAAATCCATCGGGAGTCTCTGGATCTCTGACCATGTGTTTGTTGCTGAGTCGTATATTTCACCAGAATCTAATGGCTCATCGAACAATCCAGTGCCCCCGATGGCAATGAGCACAAATCTCTTGGAGTTGTTTCGGTTTAGCCGATCAAGCTTTAGTCTTGTTGATCTGTGAGATTTAGTTTCGTTTTGATCAGCCAAGCTTCTGTGCTGGCGTCTTACAGATAGCCTGTGAGGGTCTTCATAAACGTCTGAAACCCCGCCAGTTCTTGACCGCAGAAAGCGTCTATCTTGGCGATTCTGTTGAATCTGTACGGTCGAGAATTCTGAAGTAACTTCACAGGCTCCAACGATGGGAAGTGATCTAGCATGTCTCATAGACGCAATTTTACGCCATGTTTTGGTTAAAGGGCTGAATACCAAGATCCCTCTGTGGGTCTTGAAAGAGTTTCTGTCCACAGAACGGCCTCCAATTACATAAACCTCCTCATGAATGCTCGTCACTGAGTACATAAACCGCCCTTTAAGTACATCAGATTCAATCCTATGCCATCTGTCTTGAGATACATCATACCCTTGAATTTCACCAGAGGAGCAGCCATCATCTTTAAGAGCAGCAAACAGAAATAACCATGGGGTTTGAAAGGAGCCTTGTCGTCTCAGCTGGAGAAACCGCGGGGTGGTGACCATGTATCGCCATCTCTTGCAAACAAGGTGCGCATTCATTAGGCTGGTCAAAGGAAGCCTTACCAAGCACATTTCCAGAATATCATCAGGAAGGAAAATGTTATTTCGTCCGTCCTGAACCGAGTCATTCATTAGATATTTTCTGTTATTCTTCTTCCAGAACCTCTCTTTTACCCCATACGAAAAGCAATCTAACCTAGTTTCTTCTGTTCCACAAATTGTTGTGAATCCCTTACCCTCTTCACTAGCACTGGACCATCTCTTATTCCTTGGATACTCAAAATCCTCACCCGTATCCGCAACTTTGCTACCAACACCTCTACCACTAATGTGTAGACAATTCACCACTCCCCTTGCATCCTCTGCATCTTCCACATCAGTTCTATTGTTCTTTCTCTTTAACTTCTGGCTAACACTTTTAACGAGCCGCTTCGACACGGTTAAACTCTCCAGATCCTGCCGGATTGACTCCTCCCCCAATGGTTTCTCAGATATCATCATGAGTCATCTATCAACTTCACAAATCTTTACCCCAGATTACAAACTAATCCAGTTAAAGGAAAACAACCTGCAATGATCACAAATTAACGATCCACAAAAAAAAAAAAAATCAAAATTCTGTAAATAATCGAAGCTTAATTTCTTCTAGCTACATACAAAATTCTAGATCATCGACATTGTAGCGAGATCCACCATTTCTAACTTCAATATCCGAGTTCCCGAATCAATCAATGAGAGATTAAACATGTAAAAAAGCAAACCCTAGCTCCCAAATTCACGGAAAAAAATCTAAGCATATCAGCTCAAGAAACTAACCATCACAGGCACAAAATTGACCAGAAATCGAAGACGAAGAAGAAGGATTATCTCGAAAGTCACTTACATTGAGCAAACTCAGAATCTTGTTTAAGCTTTTTACCCTGAAGGATCTAATTCAGACTTCCAAGGACCGATTTCTCTTTCCCTTTTCATTTTATTTATTTTAAAAATTAAATCATGCAGCGGTAGAGGAAGCAAGAAATACTTGAAAATGACTTTAGCGTTTATTATTTATTTATTTGCCTTTTTTCGGAAATAAACAAAGAGAAAAGAAAAAAAGATTTGACTGAGAAAAATACTCACTGTTCAAAATATGACTATAATCAGTTTTACGAAACTTTGTAAAAAAAAAATAAAAAATTTGTGTGTGTATTTTATTAACGATATGAATTTTATAATTTGTGGAATTGCTTGTACTTCCTTTTACAGAAGAGTTAGTATTTAGTTAATTTACATAGTGGAGGATAGTATTTATTATTAAATACAAAAAAAAAAAATGTAAGTATATGACTAAACTCAAGAGCATGTACAAAATATACAACAAACAATGGATTGATACAGAATCAAATGAATTAGAAAAAAAAAAAACAATTTACGAAACCTAAAAAGAAACTTACAGTACAAGTGAAAATGTTGAGAGAAGAGCTCTAAATTTGTTCAGATTTGCTTATGAGTTGAATAAGTGCATTTGCTTTTCTCTGAGCTCTGTTTGTTCCTGAGCTTGCAATCTCTACAAGATGTTCATAAACACCGAACTGAAGCGCAGCGAGTATAAAAGACGAGTTATTAGAGCCTAGCTCAAGCAATACCGAGGTCGCGCACTCTTTGTTCTTCGGTGTACCTTCTCTTATGAATTCCACAAGTGTTTCAATGAATGAGAGTTGTCCAATCGCTTGACGTCCCTCGGGATGTGACGCGAGAAGCAAAAGTATCGAAAGCGCTTCATCGATCATTCCTAAGTTTCGGTCTTTCAGGAGTTGAAGCAAAGGTTGAACAATGCCTGCATCAATGGCTCTCCCTTTGTTAGCTGAGTTAAGAGATAAGTTAAAGAGTGCAGTGAGAGCATCTTTCTTCCCTCTTAATGTCCCATTCTGTAGTAATTCAACCAATGGCGGTATACCATTCGATAATCCGATTGTTACTTTGTTTTCATCGAGCATCGATAGACTAAACAATGCGGCAGCAGAGTTTTCTCTAGCCTCTCTGTTTCCGTTTTGAAGGATTTCGATTATGCTTGGAATAGCTCCTTCGTTTGATATGAGTTTCTTGTTGTCCTCGTCGATCGATAGATTCAAAAGAGTTGTTACCGCGTTCTCTTGGATTCCGGAATCAGGGTAAGATAAGAGTTGAACTAATAGAGGTATCCCTCCTGCATTAGCTATTAAAACTCGGTTCTCGGGGTTTTCTCTGGCGAGCAAACGCATCTGCTTCACGGATTTTCTTTGTTCTTCTAATTGGCTTGAAGACAATGCTTCCACTAGCAAAGATACCTCATCTTTCTGCTCCTCTGACTCATTTTCTGATTGTGAAGAACATGTTTCTTTCTCTGGAAGCTTGAAATTGTTCTCCTCACACCACTGCAAGATTAAGTTCTTCAATGCGTAATTCGGCGCAAGAGAGAGATGAGCTAACGTTTGTTGTGTTTTCGGACAAGTCTTGTGTCCTGCATCAAACCATTTCTGTATACTCTCCTTCTCATATGTCTACACCAAAAAAACATATATTGTTATATATGTTAGTTTAGTTTCATTTACCAACCAAGAATCATCACATCATGTAACAAAGTATAAGTACCTGTCCAGTGGAGATGATAACCGGTTCTAGCATTATCTCGAGCGTGATCGGACACAAAAACTCGTGAGGCAATACTAGAGAAGTAGACTTGGTGAATGATTTGTTATTAGCAGTAGAAGGTTCATAGAGAATGTCAGTAGCTTCAACACCTTGAAGCTTCTTGAACTTGTTTAAAAGCTCAATGATATGTTGTTTTGTCTCTACGTTTAGCCCTCCTTTCTCCTGTACTAAGCTTTTTATAGCTATTGTTTCTCTCTTCAAATCATCCATAGTTTGTAGCTCGAGCTTTTTCGCTAGCCGTTCGATTATCGCGCTATCTGCATTCCGAGGATCGGTTTTCGAAAAGACAACCATCATGTCTACTGCTAGCTCTATGTCTTGTGTATCTGTTCTTCTCTTTGCTTTTTTCAGTTGTTTACACAATGCATCAATCTATAAACCAAACAACAAAATACTCAGAAAAAAAAAACTAACAATATGGATCATAAGAATTTGTTTACCTCTTCTTTCACATCATCAGAAATGTTCAATTCGTGAAAAGGAGTTTTAACAAGAACACGATTCAATTTTTCGTAAATCGAATGAAATCTCGTCACTATTGATTCGCTATCCAATGCCTGTAAATCATATAAACTATCAAAAAGTAATCATGCATTATCCAAAGAGATTTCGATTTGGATTGTGATTTTTTTTATTACCAGGAAGATTTTGCTACCATTGTTGCAAGTTTGTAGTAACTTCTTAGCAACCAAAATCACTTTCCTCAAACGATGCAGAAAATGTTTGCAACTATCTGGAAATTCATCGAAACATTTGATCTCTTCAAAAACAGGAAGAAGAATCTTCAATCGCCTAACGAGATTGAAGCATTCTTTTTGCTGCGTTCGTCGATAATCGCTGATCTGATCTAAAAACTCAACAACGGAAACGATTTCATTCACCAATCCATTACAATCATCCTCGACAACGGTAAGGATCGCTTCTTCTTGGTCGTGAATCTCCTCCACCGCATCATCTTCTTCTTCTTCCGCCGCCGTGACTTCCTCGACGTTATCTCCATCGCCGGTTGGTTCATCTACATCCATCAGAGACTCGCGTCGTTCGAATTGATTCCAAAGATGTTCAAGGTGGAGGAGAATGACAACGAGAAAGATGTTGTGAGCTTAATTTTCGCTTGTTTCATTTTCAGAGAACAAAAATGAAAAAGTTGTTTTCTGATTTTCCTTTTCACCCAAAA